CGGCGAAGAATGATCACGCGAAGGGGACCGCCGGCGGCGGCGGCGATAATCAACGGAAGCGCAAGGCGGAGGAGGCGGAGGAGGCATTGGCGGCGTTCAAGGCGCGCGAGATCGAGGTCGACGGGAAGCGGAAGAAGATCTTTGAGCTGGATGAGAAGGAGATGGCTCGGATTGCGCGGGAGGAACAGGAGCGGCTGAAGCGGGAGCTGAAGCGGGAGAAGGTGTTTTTTGCAGTGTCGGTGCTTTGGTGTATATCTGACTAACTGGTGCAGTCGGAGTCGAGCAAATCCGCGCTCCCCTCGTTCTGGGTCCCCTCACTTACGCCATCGACCGATCCCAACGAAATCGCCGCCAACAAGGCCGTCAAGATGACACCCATCTGTCCCGGGTCGACGGACGAGAACCGCCATGCCTATTCACTCAAATCGCTGGTCGATGTGCACTTCACCGAGGAAAAGGCGGCGGACGGCACCGTCTCGCGGATCTGTCCCAGCTGCAAGAAGAACCTCAGTAACGGGCTCAAGGCGATGTGTATGTATTGTCCTACTACAAGCGCTCGCGCTCAGTTCGGCTAACGAATTAGTGGCGAAACCCTGTGGTCATGTTATTTGCCAACCGTGCGTCACCAAGTTCATGACGCCGCACGATGTCCCCGATCCCCATGCCAGCAAGGAGGAACAGGAGCGGACGGCGAGACTGCACGGTCTGATTCTCTGCTACGTGTGTGAGGCGGACATTACGCCGCGGGATCCCAAGGCCGAAGCGGAAGAGAATGGAACCGAAAAGGGGAACGGGAAGAAGTCGAAGAAGAAGGATAAGGAGCAGGGCATCCGGCCGGGGTTGGTGCAGGTCAGCTCGGAGGGGACCGGGTTTGCAGGGGCGGGAGGAAATGTAGCGATGAAGGCTGGGGTTGCCTTTCAATGTTAAGACTAGGCGCATCCGGAGTTTGGGACTGGGGTATGTACTTGTGAAAAAATGTATTCCAGTATCAGTTGACTAGACTAGATGATCTATGAGATGACACTCCCAACAACGCCAGACAAACGAGAACGAATATAGGTACACCCGAAAGAACATGGAGTAATTGTATACATGAACCACCCGGTCCGGCAGAGTCTAGGCCGCTCTCTTATTGGCGTTGTTGAATTCGCGCACAACGATATCGCACCTGATCTCCTGGCAGAGGCGCTTGCGACGGCTAGCATCCAGCTTGGAAGCAAACTCCAACCCACTAGCCCGCTCCAACACCTCCAGCGGCACCTCGAACTCAGCCAGACGCTTGTCGTTGGGGATGCGGGCATTGGGAAGCACAAACGCACCCAGCGAGACCTTGCCGGTCGGGCTGGCTGTCCCGTCCTCGGCGTAGATGACCTTGTAGAAGTGCGTCGGCACAGCCACGTTGGGCGGATTTCCAATCACTTCGTACGAGACACGCCACTTGCCGTCCGGGTCGCGATGGGGCAGGTACAACGGGCCCGTGACGATGCGGACGGAGGGGTACTTCTTGGTCAGATCGCGGCAGAACTCCTCAAAGTGCGCCCAGTAGTCGCGGTTGAAGCCCTCGCCGACCTGGGGACACATGTTGGTGAGCGCAAAGGTGCCGTCCATCGCGTCCTGGGACCATTTGGCGTCGGCGGCAGGCACCTGGTGGCCGCGGTCATAGCCGGAGCGGAAGTAGTCGGCCAGTTTGGCGCGGAAAATGGCGGGGATGCTGGCATCTTCGACGAAGGAGCTGTGTTTCCGGTCGGCATTCTTCAAGGAGAGCGAGTACGGTGTGATGTGCTCGGCGACCCAGGCGGGGTTGCGTGTGCGACGGTCGTACGCGCCAGTCAAGGGCAGAGAGGTGATGGTATCGGCGATGGGGCCGGGGAAGCCATACTGGTAGATACCGGCAGGATCGACGGGGGAGCCGCCCGAAGGTTTGCTGGCGGGAGTTTTGGCCAGAGAGGGAGGAGGAATGGTCGCGGGAGGAGAGATTGCAGCCGGTTGGGACGGAGGTGGGGGAGGTGGGAGCTGTTGTTGTTGCGGCTGTTGAGGTCGAGAGGAGGATGAAGAGTAAAGGAGAGCGGTGATACCAGCACCAGTAGCTGCACTGGCGGCAGCGATGGCCGCAATAGTAGCTTTCGACATGATGGACCTGAACTAAAGGGAGATATAAACAGATAGAAGACCCGTCGGACCGAGTCAAGGAGGTAGAAAGAAGTCGACCGTCGGGGCGGAGTTAAGAGAGAGAAAATGAAAATATTATTGCTGAAGAGAGCAAAGATGAAGCCAAAGTAACAGCCAATCAGAGAGCGCAGAGATAGAGAGATCAACAACAACAACAACAGCAGCAGTAGGTATGGGTAGGGAGGAGATCTCTAGGAGGGAGATATTGACAGGCAGCTACCTTGGCTATATATTGAGAAAATCAGTATTGGAGAATCTGTCAAAGAGTAGATAGATGATCTGCTTGAATGTTCTGCTGACATCTCCAAGTACCTATTTAGTAGGGGAAATACAATATAGGAACCCTGCACTGGAGACGGTGGCTATCCAGAGCAAACAGTAAGCCGGCCTATTGATAGATCGCTGCATAAATTTAGACTAATATCAGACATCTTACCAACTCCATCGTGAGACTTGATATCCTCTGCCTGCTACTATGGCGGTGACAGTGCGGACCTTGGGAGCAAGACGGCGGCGGTATTTATAAGGTGTCAGTGCCACCTGGACTCGAGGAATGCATTATTGTTCCAAGGGGGATGATCAGCGACAAGATGGATTTATCTGATTTATCCTGTTGACATCAACATCTGCATATCTGAACAGCTGAGGCGAGAGAAAAAGAGAGAAAGAATAGTGGTTCCTGCCATTGTCATTGTCGCCCATCTCGGATATTCTCGTGACATCACTGTCTTCTATCCGCCTTCTGCCATTCCACTATTTGCTACTGCTATTAATTACTGCTATTGCTCCTCCACCCTCAGCCCCATCATGGCTGCCAATAGTGACCTCCGAGGATGGCTGATGAGCGGGGTCTCTGGCATAGGTGAGTTCTTCAAAACCAACTGCGATAATTCCAATCTAATTCATCAAAGCCTGCGTCCTTGGTTCGTCCCTCATCTGCATCGACGTTCTGCTGCGGCGATTCTCTCGCCGCAAGAGCTTCCAAATTGTCAACAGCAATGGCTTCTTATCAGCCTCTCTATGCCTGAGTGCCGGTGTTATGGTACCTCTACTCTATTGCCCCCTGTATGTCTGCAGCACTAATTCTGTAGCTCTTCACCTCCCTCTATAGCATGCTCCCCACCTCGAAGGAATATCTCACTCGAGCTGGATTCTCTCCCCGCGCAGCGGCCTACACTCTAATCGGACTCTTCATGGCTGGCGTGATTGTCATTCGACTTGTTTCTGCTTTCATCCACCAGCATATTCCCTCTCATGTCGTCGATTGCGCACATACTCACCAGCCAAACCAAGATCCCGAACGCGGCGATGTGGGACGGCAAGAGCAGCCGGCGTCCGCTCTGCGCCAGGCAAATGGCTATACCGAACGGACGCCTCTCCTGTTACAAACAAAGTCGCCTTCTCGCAAGTCCATGCCGGGTGCCGTTGAGCGACCGGCGCTCGAACCTCTGCGGTCCCGGTTGACTCGCCGCATCAATCAGCTCGTGGGCGGCGTCAAACCCCGCTGTGACGAAAACGGCCCGTGCTATGGTTTCTCGCAGACTTGCGGCCTTGAATGTACCAAGATCCTCACTACCACGCAGATGACTAGCGTCGTCGAGGAGATTCCTCGGCCTCCCTTAACCACGCATCACAGCATTGGTGTCCAGCTGGACTCGGAAGGCGCAGGACCTGAAGAAGGTGCTGGCCCAGGGTTGCTCTCCCAGTCGCATGATTCGATGGAAGACTTCTCGGGACCATTGGATGCCGGTAACTCCCAGGAAAACCAAAGCAGCTCATCCTCCTTGCGGACAGATCTTCAAATCTATCCCCATAAATCCCCAGAGGACCAAAACGAGTCGACCAAAGCTCCACGGGCCGCATCGTCGCAACACCACCACCACGTACCCCAGAATGCCTTTCTATCTATCGGACTCCAGACGTCGTTAGCTATTGCCCTCCACAAGCTCCCAGAAGGCTTCATCACATACGCTACCAATCACGCCAGCCCCACGCTCGGCATGACCGTCTTTGTCGCCCTCTTCATCCACAACATTAGCGAAGGCTTCGCCATGGCCCTGCCGCTCTATCTCGCGCTCAATTCCCGCTGGAAAGCCATGTTCTGGTCCAGCTTACTCGGCGGAATCAGCCAGCCCGCCGGCGCCGGCATCGCCGCTCTTTGGATCTGGGGCGCGCAGAAAGCCGGCCACAACGACGAGACGACCGGTCCCTCCTGGGGTGTGTATGGGGGCATGTTCGCTGCCACAGCCGGCATCATGACCTCGGTTGGCCTGCAGCTTTTCAGTGAAGGGCTCGGATTGACGCACCATCGTGGGTTTGGAGTCGGATTCGCTATCGCTGGGATGGGTTTAATGGGGCTGAGTTTTGCGCTGACAGCGTGAGTCCACTTTCGGGTTTATTCAGGAGTTGAGGTTCAATCTCTTTTTCTTCAAAGTAAATGTCTGTATGCATTGCATGATTGCATCGGGCTGGTGGCATCAGTATAAAATTGGGTATATGAAAATAGGGCGGGTATTGTTATTATTGTTGTGTTCCTTGATGACTGTCTATCTGCATTATGAGTTACGACCGTTTTGTTTTAATCAATGGTTAGTATGTAGTTTAGAGCATACGTAAATACACAGTCTAATCATGTGCATTTAGATATATATCCGTCCTTTGAGGATACTTTCTAGAGGCTTTAGATGGTATTCCGATAGATTTAGTACATTATTTCTTCCAAGTTTCAAGGTATCCTACATAGGAATTAAATGATATATCCAACGCCATAACATGCACTGCTAACTCCAAGGACCTGATCAAGGCGGATGCAAAGGAATAAACAAGCGAGGTCACGACCCCTTCTTGGCCGCCTCTTCTCGCTCCCTCTTTCTCGCCAGATATCGCTCCCTCGCGCTCGACACATCGGTTTCTGTCTTGCGGGTACGGGTGCGCTCCGCGATCTCCCGCTGTCGCGCGGCCTCGGCCTCGGCCTCCTGTCGGGCCTTCTCCTCCAGCTGCTGCGCGACCATCTCCGTCTGGCGGGCTCGCTGGCTCGCACGCGCCGCGTGGTGCCCCGAGTCGAAACGGGGCTTGTTGGCAGCCGCCCGGGCAGCAGCCGCAGCGGCGCTCGCCGAGGCGGACGGCTTGGGCTTCGGGGCGACGTTCAGCCCGGCGGACAGCAACTGCCGCTTGTCGACGATCTGGCCCTCGTCGTTGATGGCGATGTGCGCGCCCTTGGCGTTGAGCTCCGCCGCGATCTGCGCCTCGCTCTTTTCCTTGTTTGCTTCCGCTTCGGCGGTCGCTTCGTCGGCTGGGATCTCGCCCGCCTGCACCCGTCGCGCGGCTTCCTCCGCCGCCTTGACGACTTCCTCGTGCCGCTGCTCGTCCCGCGATAGCATGTCCCGGTAGAACCCGACCATCCCCGTCCCACCGTTCTGCTTCCGCCGCTCCTCCTCCTGCCTCTCCCGCTCCGCTTCTTCCTGCTCGATCCGTCGCAGCTCCTCCTGCTGCGCCTTGTACGCGGACGTCACGAACTTCTCCTTTTCGGCGAACTCGTCGCCCTCCGCCTCGCGCTCCTTGGCGAGTAGCCTGTCCCGCGCCCGCAGCTGGTCCCGCTTGCGGACCTCCGCGCTGCGCAGCAGCGAGGTCATGTACCGCGGCCCGTCGGTCTTGGCGTCCGGCGCGGCGGCTTTGGCTTTGTCGGATTTGGCGCGCAGGCTGTCGTAGATGGCGTCGTAGGAGTAGATGGTGGGGTCGAGCTGTTGGGCGTCCTCGGCGTGTTTCTTGCTGCTGCGGAGGGCCGAGAGGTTCGTGTACTCGGGGCTTTTGCTTTTGGCGGGGTTGAGACCCAGAGGCATCGCTTGCGGTTCTTGCTCCTCTTCCTCGTCTGCGAAGATGGAGCTCTTGCTAAGGGGTTTGATGTTGGGTTTGCCGGTTGGGGGGCCAGCCGGCGGTTTTCGTTTTGCGGGCGGTTCTGTGGTTTGTCGGTCGTTGGTTGACGGTCTGGGTGCTTCTTCGAGTCCGCCGATTGTGGTTATCTCGACGGGGCCGTCGCCATCGCCGGCGCCTGCATTCTCTTGGTTGTCGCCCTCAGAGTCGGAGTCGAATATGGTCTTCTTGCGCTTCTGCGACCCCGGCGGTCCGAGTTTCGAGGTTGGGGGTTTCTTGCTGGGGAGGTTGAGTCCGTAGGACAGTTTCGGAGGGGCCATGGTGCCGAGACTGAGGCTGTAGGGCCTGACCCAATTCCGTGCAGTTGACGGTATGCTGCGCAGGGGAACATATATTTGAAGTTGAAGATAGTTACAGTCGAAGGAGATGAGTTCATCAGATGGTTATCTTATCAGCCACGTGACTCAATCATCTCCACCAAACAAACGGACAATGTTCACTACTCCGTACTGTTTATCCTGCGGACTACCTTCCCCCCTCTTCTGAAGTGATTCCCTCTGTCAAATAAAATGTCATACTACTTCACCATCCTCTCCCCCACCGACGTCCCCTTATTCAACATCGCCTTCGGCACCTCCAAAGGCGGCGGCGATGGCATCGCACGATTCCGCTTCCCAGACACAGCGCAATACATGAACCAATTCATCATCCACTCGAGTCTGGACATCGTCGAGGAAGCCCAATGGATGAACGGCAATATGTACCTGCCCACCGCATTCCGATCTTACTGACATTGTAACTGAATGCTAAATGTCAAATGGTACAGGTACCTCAAGCACATCGACACCTACCCCCCCGCCTCGGCGTATATCTCCGCGTTCCTCACGCCCTCCGGAACAAGATTCCTGCTCCTCCACCAGCCGCCTCAGCTGCCTTCGACGGGGACTGCGGGGTCCGGCTCGTCGCTGCTCGGTTCGTCCTTCTCCGTTGGTGGGGGGAGCTCGTCCCGTGCGTCGAGTAGCTCGATCGCGGCGAATCCGACCTCGCCGCAGACGGAGGAGGCGGTGCGGCAGTTCTTGAACGAGGTGTATGAGAATTACGTCAAGACGGCCATGAGCCCGTTTTATCGGCAGGGGATGGAGATCCGGAGTCCGGTGTTTCGGGCGAGGGTTGTGGCTGCGGGGAAGAAGTGGTTGTGATTCTTTGCCTGCCCCTTTTTACGGCTGATGCATTTTACCTTGCTGAGCGTGGCGTTGGGGTGTGGCTTATTTTACTGCTATGGACTTGCATGGAAAGATGTATCGAAAGTGCATGGGTTCAACTCGTGTATTTATTTGATGCCCATTAACCTCTGCGCCGTGTACCAATGCAGAGTGTCCGATATTGTTGCTCTGTTTGCATAATCTTGCTTGCATCCACCAAGGGGAATTCGGCATGCAATAATAAGCTCGCTAATGTTCAAAAGATGGAGCATGTCCTGCAAGATGAGCGGAAGAAAGTAGGTCTCCCAAATGGTATGATAAAAGGGGGACTGAAAACCAAGAAAAGATATGCCGCTGTCGCTGTTTCCAAGACCAACAGAACGCCTCCCTAAGATTACCTCCGACCCACTTCATGCCGTCGCCGTCATTTGAGGGGCCAGCTTTTTCACAGTGCTGTTTTTGAAATTCTCCACTGCATGGATCACGTCGTCCGCTTTGGCGACGGCGCCAAAAATGCCGCCTTCCATCTTGACGGATTCGAGCGTACTTACATGGAGGGACGGCTCGCCCGCCGCAGTGCAGTCTTCCAGGACGACGCAGTCGAAGCCTTTGTCGTTCGCCTCCCGCATCGTCGTCGACACACAAACATCCGTGGTGACACCTGCAATGACCAGATTCTTGATGCCTTTGTTTCGAAGAAGGAGCTCAAAGTCGGTGTAAGAAAACGCACTTTTACCCGGCTTGTCGATGACCGGCTCCTCAGGCAGCGGATACAGTTCGTCGACGATGTCGTGTCCGACTTCACCGCGTATCAACAAACGCCCCAACGGCCCTTGGGAGCCAATTCCCATGCCGGATGCATTGTTCCGTGACCGAAACGCCTCTCTATTTGAGAGAGTTGACAGATCAGGCCGATGACCTTTACCACAACGTCAATCAGGAGTCCATCACCAAGACTAAAGTATCAGGGGTTTTTACCTTCACGAGTGTGGTAAACAGGAAATCCAGCAGTACGGAATGTATTCAGTACCTGCTGCAGTTTGGGTATGAGACTCTGCGCTGCTGAAATGTCGTAACCTTGGTATTCCATGTACCCGCCAGGCGAACAAACTGCGATGACCGTCAGAGGTGATGAGCATTCGGATGCCAAGCGCGAACAATATGATTCATGCGGAATACATACAGTCCTTTTGCATATCGACGATGGCTAAAGCAGTTGTATATGGTGTTAGAGTCGCATCATGCGGCCAATCATAGGGAACTGCTGGAATCTGGCCCTTTCGAACCTTATGCTGCGGTACTGGTCGCGGCTTCTCGACAACAGGCCCATGATTGTGAGTTGGATTTAACACTGTCAACGTCCAGATACCAGGAGTACCAGCTGCTACCAGCATAAATGGACAGTCCATCAATCGAGACGTTCGTCGCCGCTTTCTCGTCTCCTCTGTGAGCCCGTTTCGGGGCCGATAATGGCCTCCCCGATCGCACCGGAGCCACACTTTAGCTGTACGTCCGGGCTTCTTCTCGGTAGGAGTACTGGATGACTTGACCACAACATTGTATCCATGTGCTTTGCTGTGAGCTTGCACTGCAGCAAGAAGAGTAGCTCTTTACATGTAGGGAAGGATATGAGTAGCGGTTCCAAGCAATGTATCTAGAATTGGGTGACAAGAGGGTGGCTAGCATAATCCATGCATACTTACTTATCGGGGTATGTTCCTTCTGGAGGAGGCACAAGCTGCATGGACATATCTGGGATATCTTGAAGATCGCTAGGCGCGTCGAGATTCAGATCGGTGGGGTCCGCCATCTCAACAAGTCGTGTGGATCTTCACGGGAAAGGGAAGATCTGGAGAGCGCCATATTAGCATCATAGGTCCATGGTGACCCGTCACCAAGCTCTGTTTGGGAGAGGAAAAACAGAATGAAAGATCCATGGCCATCTGGTAGCTGTTTATCGATTTCCATGTGCGTGGAAGCAACTCCCCGGTCTACTGTGAGTAGTATGATGTGCGTGGATATAACACGGTCTGCCACCCTAGCTTGGAGACTAGACCGAAGGTGAAGGAGTAAGGAGGGAAGAAGTACCGCGTAAGAGTCCGATAGGAGGGAAAACAAGCAGAGAGAGGGAAAACAAGTGGACAATAGCAACTTACCGGGCCAAAACCAGGGAATATAACTGGGAAGTGGGAATCAAGCAATAATAACCTCCGGATCAATCTCTTGTTGCCCCAGACTTCCACTGCCCATAAGGCATGCCCCCAGAGCAGTCACTGACCTTTGATCGTCGGAATACGCACGTCGTCGCGGGCGGTGGAAATCGAGCTGAGGGACGAGTCCGGCACTAGACCACTATAGGTCTAGTGATGTTTTTATGAGGCCGTAACATACAAATACTTGTTACACTAGGTACTGCACTGATAACGGTAATTACCATGTGACAGTTGTCGTCAGGTACCAAGCCTAGTACCTTCTTGTACCTAACTGGTACCTACCGTCAACTGCGGATACTATGAGCACCCAAGTGTACCTTAGGTACCTAAAGTACTCTAAAGCGGTATGCTAGTGCTTAATCCAGTTGGTGAGGTTGTTTTGTTCCCGTGGACACGGCACTATCTATCTCTCTAGTCTCTACGCCCAATCCAGCTGGATAACATCACCATCACAATCAAACCCCCCCAAAACAATCACCCATGTTCCGACCAGCCCCCTCTGAGAGGGTTCCGCAAAGGTAAGTTTGGATCTTCTCGGACTTCAACTTCAGTTATTCTAGTATTGCTTTCGCTTTCTCTTCTTGATTTCTATTTTCCTTCTTTGTCTCTATCGCTCTCGAGTCCCTGTTATAACCTCCGATCAACTGCGACACCGCCTCCGCGAGGGGTCCCCTCCACCGGTTCACGCACGGTTGTTGATAGTGATACTATTCGCGGCGTGCATGAACTCGGTATTCAGCTGTTTCGTGACGACACTCTCGCTATCTTTCAAATTCACTGCTTGAAAGTGAGTCGTTGCCTTCGCTCTTGTGCGCCACATCGGTGTCCGTCTTCGGTCATACCGCCCCCCCTGGTACCGAACCGGAATAATGCCCTCGGCCGATGGCTCGTCCTCTGCTCGCCCGAATGGTACCAGCTCCCGGTCGGATCAGCTTGCATGGTATAAGACGCAGTATGAGCAATTAGAGGCTGAGCTAGCGGACTTCCAAGCCTCCAGCCGTGAGCTGGAGGCGGAGCTGGAAAAGGATATCGAGGCATCTGAGAAGCGGGAACGGTTGCTGAAGGAGAAGGTGGATAGCTTGAAATATGAGGTCGAGGAGTGGAAGGTCAGATCGGAGTGTACCTTCATTGCTGGTAATGGACTGAGAGCTAATCTGTGACTTCCTCGGCAGACCAAGTACAAGCAATCCAAGTCGGAAGGGAACTCGGCCCAGAACACGTTACAGAAAGAGATTACGACTTTGAGGGATGCAAACCGGACACTACAGCTGAAATTGCGAGACATCGAAGTCGCAAACGATGATTATGAACGTCAAGCCCGGCATACGACTTCGTCCCTGGAGGATCTGGAGTCCAAGTACAACGTCGCCATCGAACGAGCAGTCTTATTGGAAGAGGAAATCCGAACCGGAGAGCAGGAGCGGGAAAACTTGCGCATCGAGAATCAACGTCTGCGAGACGAGCTTTCGGATCTGAAGATAGAAACGGAAATCATCCACGAAAAGCTCCGGCATGCGGAACTGCAAAACAGCCGGCGCAGGAAGCCTCTCTCCTTGCGCAGTCCATCAACACCACAGACACCGGATCTCTTCAGCCGTTCTCCTGCTTCATCCATAGTTTCCTCGCCGTTATTCTCGACTCCTACATTGAAAACCTCGCTCATGTCCGCCACTGCAACGCCTCCGTCGCCGCCGATATCCGAGTCGTCGAGCAGCCTGCGCAAGTCAATGAATGCTATGCCTGGTTTCCCTCTTCAGAAGGCCTCGGCTTCTGACTCGTCATTTGGCACCCGGTCGCTGCATGGGTCCAAAACTCAGAAATATAACAACCACTCGCGTGCAACCTCCTACGCTTTTACGAATAACCGCCCCACGCCATCAGCTACCAATCGGCCCAGCTTGCCCAAGCCGAAGCCCAAGCCCAATGAAAACACCAACAAGAATAATAATAGTAATGCCCGGTCGTCTGGGCTGCCGACGTCGGGTTCACTGTATCAGATCCGTGGACTCATTGGCAAGATGCAGAAGCTCGAAGAGAGAGTCCAATCTGCAAAATCCAAACTGCCACCCCCATCGGATTCACCGTCTCGTACGTCTTCTCGTTCGGGATCGATAATGGGCGAGAGTCCGGTTGCATCTACAATAACAGCCCGAAGGAACTCACGCAAACGGCTGAGCGGGAGTAGTTTTAGCTCGTCTATTCGAGACGGTGATAGCGTGCCTTCGTATGCTCCGCACAGTCGACCGTCCTTTGGCGCTAGGACGCAGGGTGATAGCCGCCCAAGCAGCCGCACCAGCTACTCGAGCCACAGCTCGGTCAGTCACAGTACACATCCGAGCGTGACTCCATCGACACGCCCTGAGAGCCGCCAGAGTCGGACGAAGACACCACTGGGGCACTACTCGACCAATCCGACCACAGAGAGCCGCCGACCCCGGTCATCGCTCAGCAACCCCTCTAACCAGAATGGAGTCGTCAATGGGATGGCCCATATTGACGAGGACGAGGATCTTGCTATGCATATGTCTTTAAAGGCCAGGATCAGCGAGATCCGCGAGACTCGGCTTCCGTCTATCTCCACGCCGACGGGACTCAAGAAAAGAACCCCAAGCGGGATCTCTGGTATCCCAGCGCCTCGAACATTGAGAACGAGCACTGGCTTTGACCGGTTGGAAGGCGATATGGGGCCACCAGAGCGGAAATCCAAGATTTCCGATCTTGGAGAAACTTATTAAATTGACCTGTTCGGACGATGTATCCGTCCGGAGCGTTGGAGTTGACCCACTTCAGAAGGTGTTCTCGCGAACCAGTCCGTTTTGTTTTATCCTACATTTACATACATAATACCCTCAAGACGTCGAATTTGAAGGTCGGGTGCAGATTGGAGCATTGGCGTCCCCTGGAAGCTTTCGGCTGGACACTAGAAGATTGATCATAGAGAGGGATTACCCTTGTTCGAGTGTTCTCTTCTCGGCTAGTCCCTTGGTAAAGGATAGTCACTGATTTGTACAGTTTGTCCGGGCGGATGGCGGAGTTGGGAGCTCGCCTGGTAGCACAATTTTTTCACATGCTCGCAGAAGCCGTTGCAAAGCCCTGCAACGGCACTGTGGCGTCCAAGCTGTTTCTCAGCACTACTTTCCTTGGAGATTTCGTTTCATGTTACTACTTATTGTTGCCTTTGGCGTTAGAGAATACCCAGCGACAGTTCGTTACATATTTTTTGGAACTTTTCGTAGCAGATCAGGATCTGGGTCAGGAACATAATCGTCCAGATGCTTGTGGAGAAATGAGGACTTTCGAAAGGGACCGTACGTCAGCGGGGGCCCCCTGGACAACCTAGATTACTACGCTGTGCCTGGCGCTGTACCAAAGTATGGCAGTCGATCGATCATTTTTATAGATAAAAGTGACTGGCCCGTCGTCCGTCCTGCTTTCCTTGTTTCTAAGGCATTCTTCAATGCAACCTCATGCGCTACGTTCGTATTTCAGGAGTAGTCTCCGAATATCACTAATAACTGAGAGACTTGGTGTATCATACTCATAAAGCCTGACTCAGAATGGACTAAATGCTTATCCTCCTCGTATTATCGTATAAGACATCACTGCAGAAACTAGATTGAAAAGTTCCCGTTCGCACCGAACAGGCGTTACTACCTAGTCTACCCTACCTTAGATAACTGGCAACTGGCGAGTGCGGCCAGACCATACTACCAGGACTCTCCCCGTCTCCCGCCACTGTCAGATTTGCTGAGGGCGATCATTTCCCAAGGTCCCAACGCGGTTGGCTAATCTGCCGGTGATGATTGGCTGTGGTGGATGGGTGTGGGGCGTCAACATGTCTCGATGCGGTTAGGCGGGTACTACTACCAGTACGGTACAGTAGTACCTAGTAGTATGGATGTTGCTGGATTCGGCGCTCGGGTACCGAATCGTGCATTTGGTTGGTTTTACGTGGGACTTGCGCTTCTGTTAAGAAACAAAAAGAAAAGAAAAGAAAAGAAAAGAAAAGAAAAGAAAAGAAAAGAAAAGAAAAGAAAAGAAAAGAAAAGAAAAGAAGAGAAAAGATGGTGGAGGACTTGAGAGTAATTCGGCGTCACAAGAGATCACTCACGGTCTTAAGTATCTACAGAGTTGGTAGGAGGAGGAGGAGGTACGGAGTATAGTAAGTCCGTCGCATCTTTTCGTATCCGCCGCCTATGTCCCGAATCCCGGCTGTTTGGCGCCGAGCGGAGGTTTGCAAAGTAGGTAGTCTAGATCATTCTTCGTACTTCCTGTAGAGTATTACTCTTTCGGGTAGATAGATTGCGATCACTTTGCGACTGCGAGGTCTCGGCATTGGGACTACGGAGTAGATACTGACAGCCTGATTTCATTCTGTATTCTGTAGACTAGATAGAGACCAAAAGATACCGCTTCAGCCATGTGATGCGGGCTGTTCATGGACTTGGCATCGAGAGCAAGATCTCTCTAGCGGGAGTGCCATGCACTGCGTTAAATACATGGGATAGCGTCACCGATGGTTGATTGAAGATAGAGAAGATACTATTATTCTAATGCCATTGAGGTGGACGATGCATGGGGCGGAAAGGAAATCTGG